GTTTAGTGTAGACCAAGCCTAAACCAGGGACTTGCTCTTCGTCTCTCCTAATTGTGAACAATGAGCCTTAGTAACTGGAACGGTGCGATGGGCGTGTGGCTGGGGAAGCATGGGAAGAACATGCAGAGGTGAAAGCTGTGATTGGAGGCGTTGGAGGAAGCAAGAGGTGGTAAGACATAGGCGGGCCCAAAAGAATTCTCTGTGGGTGGGGGTTCGACAGGACACTAGAGAAGCTGTGAGATTTCCTGTATGGATACACTGGTGCCTGGGTCCCTCTGGGGCACCCTCCCTATGCAAGATGGGTACTGATATGCCAAGGCTAGTGTATAGTAGGATCACCAATGGATACATCTTGCATCTCCCTGCTCCCAAGCCACAGCACGGCACTGGCAGGCAGCAGCCCAGAAACCTGTACTAAAACAAAGTGTGGTATATATTTAACACTGGTGAAAGGTGCTAGGTCCAGACCTGATCCTCCTGTTTAGCCCCAGAACACGTTCAATATGGACAAGGGCAGACTTCCTTCTGCCCCATCAGTGTGGCTCAGCCCTGCCTTAGAGTCCTCGGCCCCTCTGCTCAGGCTGTCAGGAAGAGTACAATTTAGTAATTGTGCAGGTTTGGATCATGGACACCTGCCCAATGGGGGTTGAACTGAAAGCCACCAATTCCTCTGTTCTAGGGGCCACCAAACAGCCATCAGAGAGGAAGAACTTGTGGTCACGGTCAGCCTGGGATGCTGGAACTAGGGGTTGGCTTGAACCCCTGGCTTGAAGTAGTACCAACAACCAAATACATGGTAATAGCTCTCAGCACCCCCACTTCAACAATTGTTCCAGCACCTATGTTGGGATGAATTTGACATGGTGGTGAAAGGCGCCTTGCCCCATTCCCAGTGCTCCAAGTCATCCCACCCCCAGAAAAACATGCCTGAGCCTCATGTAGGATTATGAGAGCTGGATAAATAAAATCAAGAGTAAAAACACTGGGGGTTTATGCTGGGCTCCATCTCCCATCCCCGTTGTGTTTCAGAGTGAATGACGCTCGCAGCCTCTCCTGAGAGTCAGGCACGTCAGGGTGATGGGTGTGCCACATGCCGCCAACAGCAGAAACCTCTCAGGGGGAAAATCACCAGGAACTTTGTGCTTTTCCAGGCCTGTCAGGAATTTTAATATGCTAAAGCCACAGAAGCTTTGTGGTTGAACAGGCCCTGCATACTAAAGCTGGCCTGGCCAGTTCAGCTCCCTGATAGAACTCAGAAATCCCCACCTAGTGTTATCCCTTAGCTGCTTCTTTCATTTGCCCTAGAGGAGCCAGCGGTACTGGGTTTTAGTGGCCAGCATGCTCGGGGGGGCGAGGGGGGGGGAAGGGGCAGGGAAGGAAGGAAGGAAGGGAGAGAAAGTGTGTGTGTGAGAGAGAGAGAGAGAAACAGGCCTCCCTGCTCTGCTGGGTGTACAGGAACAATGGATTAATTCAGGGAAATCTCAGAGCTGTTTCTCTGGATCAGCGAGTGAGTCTGTGTGTAGAAAAGAGAGGAAAGAAGAGGAGGAATTGGCTAAGGGGAGAGCCTCAGAGGGACCTACTAATATCACTGGGTGATTTGAAAATGTCTGGGTCCATTAAATTGGTTTTGCCTGAAGTTACTGGTCAGCACTTTGATTAGAACCTCAAAGTCCTCTGGCATCTCACTGATGCATATGCAGACATACGGATAAACAGGCAGCAACATGCAGGCGCATGCACCATACTCTCACAGAGACACGGATACTGGTACATGCAAAGACCCAGCTGCCTATGGTTCTTCTATAGCACCCATCACTGCAAAATTTAATTGTTAATGACAGGTTTCAGAGTAGCAGCCGTGTTAGTCTGTATCCGCAAAAAGAAGAACAGGAGTACTTGTGGCACCTTAGAGACTA